ACAGGCGCCCGCCACAACGCCTGGCCATTTTTTGGTTGCAGCCATCATTGTTGTTTGGCGGGCCCGGGGAAGGGGATTGGAACCCGCCACCTTAGGTGTATGTGGCTGGCGCCTTAGCCGCTTGAGGTTTAGGTTTTCTTACTGTATTCTAGAGCAAACCAATTTGAAGACTGCTATTCTAAGACTTTTGGACTTTCTCCGATTGTCATGGGGACCAGCAGACGACAACTTACCCCTTTTGGACACATGTTTTCTAGTCCCTAATCCTTAATGATGGATTTCTTAAAGAGGGTTCCCTAATCTGACAGATAATCTACCTTTTATGTTCCATCTACCTTCGTCTCCAAGGGATATGGCATTGGAGGGCTACAGTGCCCATGAGGGAAGGGGCTTCCCCATTGCTTTCAAGTAGAATATTCTGTCACAGCCTTCTTCATGCTAATCTCTACCTGTGACTTCTGCTGCATACATCAGTGTCAGAAATCAATCTCTAATATCCCAACATTCTAATGATATACATATAATCTACCAAACTGCAAACTCTATGCAGGCAGGGTCACATCTGTTAAGGCTCACTGTTGTGTTCTCAGCAGTGTCTAGAACACAGGCACAATCAAAAAGCTACTGAAATAGAATTAGAAGGGCAGCTGATGATATACAGGAAGTTGCTGGTTTTGAACATGCAGAGCCAGAGATAATGGGTTGAAAATTCATGTAAAACTTAAGGGTAAGTCTAACTAATTCACTTTTTATAGGATACGCTCTCTGCTACTTGAAGGTAGCCAAGTAAATCTCTTTCCCCCACATATCTTCCCTGGTTCCCTAAATTCTTCCTCTAAAGACATGAGGTTTGATTCCAGTTCCCTATTATTCTAGCTATAGTATCCTTACAGGTTTCTTTATCCTTACTTTGTGTCAGATAGAGATAAAGCCTTGTCATTTGTTGGGAGAAGATAATGTATAGAAAAGTGCCCAAAACAAGGTTGGCCAGAGTGGGAATTCAGGAATGTTAGGTTGGAGAGGTTTGAGCACTTAGTATCCTGGTTATTCTTCCCTACGTTGAGCTCCACAAGGCCAGTGTCCAGGATAGATACATAAAAGCCTCTAGGGCTGGGCAGAGTAAACCAAGAATTTCCTTCTCCCTTCAAGGGCTTTCCTTCAATGTTCATGCCTCTAAGTTTGCTTTAACATCATTGGTTGATTTGAAACTCATTTAGGAGTTGAAACTGAGGCACTACAGGACTTCTCTGAAGGAGAATACAGTAAGAAAGACCTGAGGGCAAAGAACCTGGAGTTTGCTTACTTTTCTGGGTAAAAAGAGTGGAACTAGATTACAACTGAGTATATTCTGTCAAGAGGTGCAGAAAACAATTCAGAATAAAGCAACAGGACCGAGTGTAGGAGCTGGAAAGATGATTCGGCTTTATCGACTTTTAAAAAAATGTGGCAAAAAACATGAAACATAAAACTTACCATCTTAACCATTTTTAAGTGCATGAGCAGTAGTGTTAACTATATGCACAATGTTTCCCAACAGATCTCAAAAATGTTTTGTTTTCATTTTGCAAAACAAACTCTATACCCATTGAACTAACACCCCTTTTTCTCTTCCCCTGTAAAAAGTAGAACCACCATTCTTTCTGTTTCTAAGAATTTGCTACTTTTGATATCTCATATAAATTGCATCATGCAGTATTTGCCTTTTTGTGAGTGGCTTAGTTGACTCAGTAGAATGTCTTTGAGGTTCATCTATGCTGTAGCATGTACAGGGCTTCCTTTATAAAGGCTGAATAATATTTCATTATATTAAAAAAAATCCACTTATCTGGTGATGTACATTTAGGCTACTTCCACCTATTGGTTATATACTGAGTAATGCTGCAAACCACACAGATATGCAAATTTTTTCCTATTTAACTACCTTGTTTTACAGTCAGTGATCACCCTGACTCACAAAGTGACTTGTCCAAAGCACAGCAGCAATAGTGGCACTGGGGACTGTCCTATGCAATTAGAGAGTGTCAGCATCATCCCTAACCTTTACCCGCTAGATACCAGACCCCTCCCCCAAATGGCAGGAGAGGATGGGGAGGAGGGGCGCAAAGTCTCCTCAGGTAGATCGTCACTGCTGTAAAGATACAGCCGGGCCTGTATGAGTGGGACTCTGATGGTGGAAGGCTCTACACACATACACGCCCCGCAGCCGGCGTTTTCTTTTTACCTTTCGGAAGCGGCAGAGATCGGAAAGAAACGTTACAAAGCGTTTTCTTTTTACCTTTCGGAAGTGGCAGAGATCGGAAGGCTGTCACCTTGAGAGAATGAGAAAGCTGGACTCAGAAATGACCAAGCAGAGGAATCAGATGAGCACAGCTTGGAGGTCGCGTCCACCCACTATCCGGCTTCCTCTCACGACCTCGTGGCCTTCGCGGTGCACTCTGGGACGCGAAATTCCGATCCGCGGGTCCCGCCCACTTCTACCCGAGCACTGACTTCCTCCCTCCTCCGCAGGCTGCAGCTCCCGGAAGGCGGCTTAAAGCTTCTACGCTTCCTTTCCCCGCCTCTTAGTCCTGCAGATTGCCAATCCAGGCAGCCAATAGGGAGACTAACTGATGTTTTCTGTTATCTGATTGGTTTGGAGTTTTGCAACGGCCCAGACAAACTTGCCAAGGATTGGCTGAGCGTTCAGGTTTGAAAATCATAGATTTCGCCCGCGCTGCACCGCCTGGTTGCCACTCAGGAGTGGTAAGCCCGGAAAACCCGGAGCCGAGAGGGTCCGGGCAGGCGGGGGCTCAGGTAGGGAGACCACTGAACTTGGATCGGAGCAGCGCTCAGGAAACGCGGTGCAGACAAGTGAGTGCGCGCGAGCAGCCCGAGGGGGGTGGTTAGTGATTCGTTCCTCCTCCCTCTCCCCCTCCTAGCCAACTCTGGGTTAGGGGTGTGACCCCCACCCCCTCCTCTTGCTGCCTGGCAATGTGAGGGTTATCGCTTCCAAGAGGCTAGCTGACCTGCCTTGGTCCTGGGGCCTGAGATGAACCTCATCCCCTAGCTTCCACCTAGGCACCCAAGTCCCTAGAGAATAACCCCATCTCCTTCCCCTCCCGGGCGCCTCGCCCCTGGTTTTGTGCTCGAAGGGCTTTTTGTTGACTTGGACTCTCAGGAATCCCGAAACCATATTCCAGGTGGCGTTTTTGCACTGTAAATCCTCTCGCTTGCCGACTTCGCCCTGCTGAGCAGCGTTTTAAACTGACCATTTCTGGAGGCCCATGTCTCCCCCGCTCGTCTTGTCACTCCCCAAGCTTGTTCGCTGTCAGAGATTCAGTTCTACCTGGCTTCCCCGAGCTGCTCGTGGGGCTGCCCAGAGCCGAGACCTGGCCCCTGCCTTTCGGAGGTTGATAAACAGGACGCGGTATAGCTAGTGGATAAGAGAACAGTTTAAATCCAGGCTCCGCCCCTGATTTACCGCGTGACTTTGACTTAAATTCTCTGTCCTGAGTTTTCTGCCCATGAGTATCCTCGAGGTTTTGGTGAGTTTTAAATGGGGTGACGTTTGAGTGGCTATTAAGACCGAAGAGTGGTAGAAGGGTACCCAACTTGCTGCACCCTCAAAAGAACAGGAGTCACAAGGAGGGCAGTAAGAACTAGTCTGGTGTGTGGTGTGGGAGAAATATTGAAAGAAGACTGTGGAGAGGATCTCGCTTGGGGGAATGTTGGGTGCTCTGGATCTGTATGCAGGTTCTTAACCTGCTGAATGAAGATGAGGTTTTTGCTGCTCCTTCCAGGAGGCTGATTCTTGGAACAGTGATTCCTTTCTCAGGATTACCTCTGTTCTAATTTAGGTGACCCTTTTTAAATGGCCAAACTATGGTCTGCTAAAAACAAACTTCTTCATGAAAGAAGTCCAAATGCTTTTTTATACTTTATGAAAGAAACTTTCACCCACTTTGCCAGTTTGAACACAGCCAGTTTTTGCATTCTGCAGCTCCTCTGCAAACTTTTGCCTTCCTTAAACATTTTTCTTTTTGCTGGCCTTGAACTGAGGTCCTGCACTTTGCCAGGGCTGTGGTCTGGCTGCAGTGGGGCTGGGGGAAGCAAGAGGAATGGTAGTGAAAAGGCCTTGCCTATGATTGCCTGACGGCAGAACTGAGGTTTTTGCTCAAAGCCTGTACAATCCTGCCCACAGGGGTCATGGACATGGCCTGTGCTAATCTGTTTAGAGTAAGTTGATTTGGTGCCCTTTGTGTGGTGGTGGCAGCGGGGAGGGGTAACCGTAGGATGTTTATCTCTGAGTGTAGAGTTGATGGATGAATTAATTTATTCAGAAATTATTCCTATTGCCAGACACTGACTGGGTTCTGGGCATTCAGCAACAAGCAAGATAGACAGGGCTTTCTCTCAGGGAGCAGGTGTTCAGTGGGCAGAGACAGTAAGCAAACAGGTAAACAATCACCCAAGTGCTATGCAGAGCACTGAAATCAGTAGATTGGATTCTGGCTGGGACTGCTTTAGATTGTGGTCAGGGTCCCCTAAAGATCTAAGTGAGTTTTACAAAATGGGAGACAGAATCTTCCAGACAGAGGGCAGAGCTTATTGAGGAACAAAGGCTAGTATGCTCCTGAAATCAGGCCCTAGGAAGTCCCATGCAGCTGTAACCTGACCTGGTATTAAACTCCTTGAAAGATAAAGGGGTCAGCAACTTAGCCTCTCCTTCCAGGACCTTCCGTGTTACACAGGCAGAGCTATGTGTAGTTCTCTTTCTTTTTGAAGGTATAGCTTAGGAAATTGGGTCACTGTGGTGACATGAGATGTGTAGTCTGCTATTATGGTTTACAAAGTAACACCATTGATTTGTTCTTTCATTCACCAGTTGGGATATTTATTGAGCCTGTGTGCTCTGATGTCATAGAATATAGTCATCCCTCGGTATCCATGGGGGGGGATTGGTTCTAGGACCTCCCTCTGATACCAAAATCCATGGGTGCTCAAGTCCCTGACATTAAATGGTGTACGTGTGTTTTCCCACATGCTTTCAATAATCTCTAGATTACTTACAATACCTAAAACAATATAAAAACTATGCAAATAATTGTTATGCTGTATTGTTTAGGGAACTATGACAAAAATATTCTGTACGTGTTCAGTATAGACACAAATTTTTTTCAAATATTTTTGATCTGCGATTGATTGAATTCATAGTTTCAGAACCCACAGATATGGAGTACTACTTCTTTATTTGGGGTTTTTGTGGCAATTTTATAACCAAGTCTTAGGGAGGATACTTGAGTGGCTAGTT